CGCTGTCACCTTGCTCATTTTTGATCCCCATAATGGATCGTCCCTGCGGCTTTTGGCAGTAACCTGTTCTTCCTTTATCTGGGATATTCCGTTTGAGTTTTTCCCACCTCTCCGTGCAGACGGATTTTGGGGGACACCTCGAAATGGGGCTGGTGACCCTCACCTGCCCGACGCTAAAATTCCCCTTTCCTCCAGCACCGACGCATTGATGGGATTTCGACAGGGTTTTGCTTTAAACTCGGAGGAAAAAAAAAAACCAACCAAACAAAACAAGACCAAAAAGGTTCCATAAGGCTGGAAATGAGGCTGAACCCCCTGGAATTCCCTCATTCGGGAATTTGGTGCAGACCCCGGCCCGGCTTGGCCCAGCCGGACTTTTGGCATCGGGAGTCTCCGGGGGCTGGAGGTGGTTCCCGATGACAAAAAGCTCAGCAGCGAATCGAAAGGTTTCTCCAGCACAATTTTATCTCTATCCTGACGGGATTTGGCGCTGGAAAAGCTGAAAGTGGCTGTGAATTTTGCTTGGATGTCACCGCTATGCCAAGTTAGGAGAGGGGATATCCCATCCCAAGGGTTCTGTTTGCTTTGGGAGCATCCCCAGGGAAGAAACCTCCTGAATGTCTCAGGAACGGATTTATCCCAGGATTTACACCTGGATTTACAACTCGAGCTGCCTTTTAGGGCGAATTTGTGGGGTGTGGGAGCATCACTTGCCGGGTCCCAGCCCTGCTCCGGCTCAACCCCGCTGTTTCTCTTGGTACCAAATTCCTCGGGGCTGAATCCCAGCCGGCCCAAAAGCCGGGAAAGCATCTTAGCCATCCGTCCCTGAGCGGGGATAGAAATACAGAAATACTCGGAAATATTTGGAAGATCTCTGTGGGAAGCGATTGTGTCTGAGTGGTAGCGCTCGGAGCTTATTATCGCTGGAAGCGATTTCTATTGCAGGGACCGGGTCCTGCCAGAAAACTCCACAGCAGAAAAAAATAAAAAAAAAAATATCCCGAGCTGAAGAAGGCTGTAAATTCCTGTGCTGCAATATTTCATCGAAGGACGTCATGGAAAATCTGGGCTTGAAGGGCGGGGGGAGACTCGGGAAGGGCAGAGGGGGGGAAAGGGAGACAAAAAGGGGGAGATTAAGATTTTGCTGGGTTTTTTGGGTTTTTTTTTTTTTTTTTTTTTTTTTTTTCTCCCTATCTGACCAAAGCCTGAACTTCTGCCTGAGGCACGGCGGTGACAGCCAGCCCGCACCTCAGACACCCTGCTGCGCTCCCAATTTCGGCTTTTGCTCTCCCAAAACCTTCTCCAGGTCCCGTTCGCTCCTGGAGACCGGGCTTTGCCTCCAGGCTGGAACTGGGAAAAGTCCCACGCGTGGGTCAAAGCGTTGCCGTGTGATCCCCAAAAGAAATTTGGGGTGTGCGTGTGTGTCCCTAAAAACATCTCTCCCTCGGTGCTTCCACCTTTCCTCAGTTCTCCTCCCTCCATCCTCGACCCCCCTCGCTCCAACGCACCTTTAAATAAACATTTTGGGATCAATTCGCCGCGGATTTGGGGATGGTGAGGACTGAAAGAAAAAAACCAACCCAAAAAAAAAAAAACCCCAAAGCAGCCGAGGGGAAAAGCCGGTGCTGAGGGACGGGAGGGGGTCCCGCGGGGGGTGTTAATGCAAAGCAGGACACGGGGAGGGGGACACGGGGCGGTCACTCCCCTCGGCCTGGGTGGTCCGGCCCCTGGCGGAGCAGCACCCAGCCCGCCTCTAACAATGCCACCTATACACATTCTATACATTTCCATCCTCGGGTTACAGCGGGCCTGCTCGCCGAGTTGACTTCACTTAAGCAATTAGCTCGGAAAAATACCTTCGGCGCAGGAAAAGGAAGAAAGCTCTGATTTGTCTATTTTTACACAAAACACGGCCCGAGTTTGGGGCAGGGGGAGGAGGGAAGGGGAGCGGCTTTGGGAAGCAGCCGGGGCCGGGAGAGCCGAGCGGGCTCCGAGCGGGATGGGAGAGCCTAATTGAGCCATATGATCATTTCTTTGTTGGCATTTCTTCTTTTTCTCCTTTCTTTTCATCTCTGCCCGTCGGGGACTGGGGAGGACCCGATTAACCCACCCAAATCACGAGCAGACAACACCAAAAGCGAGTCGCGTTTTCCCCCACATCCTCCTCCTCCTCATCCTCGTACCCCAGGCTTTTCCTCCCCAAAATTCCCCTTTCCACCACTCGTGCGCTCGGATTAAAACCTCCCAACATTTCTGCCGTTCCCACGACGAGGCCTATAGGACACGGAGCGATATATTCCCATTTTTCACTTTTGCTACCTGTAATAAACGCATCGGAAACCAAATCTTCCCCCTCCTAAAAGATATTGTGAGAAAGGGAAAGGGCACTCGTGAAGGGACTGATTTTCTTTGAGGGGAATAGTTTGATTTCCACGGAGATTTGGGTTTTTTTTTTAACTCGGAGATATTTTATTTCCTCGTGGACACGCTGCCGGTGGCAAACGCTTTGAACGTGATTTTTGCACGGGTGCTTTGTGCTGTGTTTAGAGCTCCATCCCCGGGTGTTTTGGGGGCAGATCAGGGAGATTCGGCGGCAGAGTGATACAAAGCAAAGAAATCCACCCTTTTCGCGAGCCGGGGGGGAACATTCGATGCGGAGCAAAGCTCAGGGTCAGAGATGCGCTCGCACAGCAAAAATAAAAAGAAATACAGAGAGAAGCAGAGGGAATATTCTGCACCAGCCTCCTCGGGGGTGAAAGCCCCGGGGAAGGTGATTGTTTTCCCCAAAAAAAGGCGATTTTTTGGGGTGCTTCCCGAGCAGCCGCCCTGCTCCACGTTCTGCTCCGCGCCGAGGGAGCCGGGGCTGCTCGTTCTCCTCCTGCTCCGGGGAAAAGCTCCAGAAATAACTGTGCCAACCTCCTCCCACCCCCTCCCTGCCTACCTGCCCCCGGCCCGGGGCTTGCCCAGGGCTCTCCCGTGCCTGGCCCGGGCCCGTTTGCACCGGGAACGGGAGGGCCGGTGCTGTCTGCAGGATGATTTTTTTTTCTCGAAAAGGAGGGAAAAGATGGGAGGGGGGAGGATAGAAAGGTAAAAAAAAAAAAAAAAAGAAAAGGAAAACCCTGATGTGAAATCCCCCTTGGCCGTACCACAGATGTGACAGGCGCCCCGGAGGCTGCTCACAACTGCTCGCCAATAACGCGGAGGGAGTTTGGAAACCCGATCGGTGCCTATCTTTCCTTTAAAAGGTATTAAATTATCATTAAAACCTTGAAAAGCGAAGCTGGAAGAACGAGGGGCTTTGGGAGGAGGGTGTCCCCTCTCTCTCTTTGCCCAGGGATGCACCCACAGCCCTGCAGGCCTCAACGGGGTGCGGGGGGACGGGCTGGATTTTTTTCCCCTTTTTTCCTTTCTCTTTCCTTTTCCTCAATGTCGGGAGGGATCAGGAGGCAGCAGCCGGCACATCTGAGAGCCCAGGCTGCTTCCCCCGTGCCCACCCGCAATCCCACCCCCACGCACCGCAGCTTTCCACGCGCGGGCCGCGAGAAGGTGACAAAGGTTTCGAGCGACTTACCTCGAGTGACAGCTCTGCCGGTGGCACGGCGCTCAAAGAGGTGGATTTTGGGGGAGAGGGGAGGGAGAAAACGGGGTCTCTGCCCCTCTGGAGTTTTATTCTCCTTCCCCCCGCCCGCCGCGTGTGCCCGCGGCACCGCCGGAGCTGAGCCGCGGGACTCCAGCACAGATTTATATACACCCCCCTCAAAAAAAGCCCCCAAAACCCCAAACAAACCAACCCACCCTCATCCCTAAAGCAGCTTCGGAGCTGCCGAGGGGTCCGAAGCCCGTTCCCGGCCCCGGAGCGGCGGCGGAGGCAGAAAAGGGCATTTCGCGAGGCAGCGGGAGTTTTCGCCGATTTCTTTTTATTAAAGCACCCCCGAGCCCGTGTTTACATTGCGCAGTATAAACATCCTGCCCGGGCCCGCCGAGCTTAAAAAGAGCGCACGAAGAGGGGGTTTGAAGCGGGCGAAGCTGCGCGCAGCGCGGAGCCGGCGGCGCCGCTGCCCCACGCCACGCGCGGAACCTCCGCGCTGCCCTGACCCACGCGGGGCCCGAGCCGCGCTCCCCAGGGCTGGGAAGGGGCGCAGGGAGAGGGCGGAGGAGCCGCACGGCGCGTCGCGGTCACGCGTGGCATCAATCACGGACACACGCACACACACAGAGATCCACGCGCGGTGCCCTCCGCGGCGGGCAGGGCTGCGGAGGGCAGCCCCCCCCATCCCCACCCCGGGTGGGGCAGGGCGGCGTGGAAAGGGCTCTTTAAAAGCTGCCCACCGGCGGGGAGCGGCGGCGGAGGGGCCGGCACGGGGCGGCGGAGGGGCCGCCCGGGAGGCGGGGGGGGAGCGGCTCGGGGCGGGGATCTCCGCTCCGCGCTTACGTCTGTCAAAGGAGCGGCAGACGCCGCTGCGAGAGATAAAGTAACAGGCGAGCGGCGGGGCCGGGGGCAGACTCGACAGCCACCGCGATGGGAAGCAGCTCCCCGCAGCAGCGGCAGCGCCAGCCCAGCTAAAGGCTCCGGAGGGGACGGCGGCGGCCCCGGGAGCCCCGGGAGCCCGGCCCGGCCAGGGGCAGGCGCAGGCGGCGGCCCCGGCTCCGCTCTCGCAGCAGCCGAGTCCGGCTCGCTTCCACCCCGCTCCCCCATCCCGCCTCCCTGCGGCCCCCCCCGACCCTCCGCCTCTCGCTCGCCTTCTGCAGCCGCGCTCGGATTTAGGGATAGAAGTGGGAGGAGGCGGCAAAGGGCGGGGGGGGTGGGCGGGGGGTGTCGTCGCTTCCATTTGTTTATCCACGGAGGGGTGAAGTCTCCCGGTGGAAAGCGAAGCCGCCGGGGGGCCGGGGTGGTGGGTGAGTGGCGGCGAGCCCCCAGCAGCGTGGCCTTCGGCGGGGGCGCTGGGGGGGCGGCGGAGGAGGGCCGGGGCTGGGGCTGGCCGCCGCGGACCTGGCCCTAGATGACTGCAGAAGCGCAGCAGGCTCTGTCCTCTCAGCCCCCTCCTCCTCCGGTGCACAGCAGCTACGGCCCCATGTCCTCCGTGGCGGAGAAGCAGCCGCAGAGCTCGGCCATGGACGCCGCCTCCGCGGGGACCGGCGGCGCGGCCGGCAGCGCCCCGGGCAGCGGCGGGGCCCCGGGCAGCGGCGGCCCCAAGGCGAAGAAGACGAACGCGGGGATCCGGCGGCCGGAGAAGCCGCCTTATTCCTACATCGCCCTCATCGTCATGGCTATCCAGAGTTCTCCCTCCAAACGCCTGACCCTCAGCGAGATCTACCAGTTCTTGCAGAGCCGCTTCCCTTTCTTCCGAGGCTCCTACCAGGGCTGGAAAAACTCGGTGCGCCACAACCTCTCGCTCAACGAGTGCTTCATCAAGCTGCCCAAGGGCTTGGGACGCCCGGGCAAGGGCCACTACTGGACCATCGACCCGGCCAGCGAGTTCATGTTCGAGGAGGGCTCGTTCCGCCGCCGGCCCCGCGGGTTCCGGAGGAAATGCCAGGCGCTGAAGCCCATGTACAGCATGATGAACGGGCTCAGCTTCAACCACCTCCCCGACAGCTACGGCTTCCAGGGCTCGGCCGGCGGGCTCTCCTGCCCCCCCAACAGCCTCTCCCTCGAAGGGGGCTTGGGGATGATGAACGGGCATTTGTCCAGCAACGTGGAGGGGATGGGCCTGGCGGGACACTCCGTGCCCCACCTGCCCGCCAACGGTGGGCACACCTACATGGGCGGCTGCACCGGCTCCTCGGCCGGGGAATACCCGCACCACGACGGCTCCGTGCCCGCATCCCCGTTGCTCCCCGCCGGCGGCGTGATGGAGCCGCACTCGGTTTACTCCAGCTCGGCCTCGGCGTGGGCGCCCAGCGCCTCGGCGGCCCTCAACACCGGCGCCTCCTACATCAAGCAGCAGCCCCTCTCGCCCTGCAACCCCACGGCCAACCCGCTCTCCTCCAGCCTCTCCACGCATTCCCTCGACCAGCCCTACCTGCACCAGAACAGCCACAACACCGCCGACCTTCAAGGTAAGGCGCGGCCACGCGTGGGGCGCATCCGCGGCCGCGGGGGTCGGGCTGGGCTGAGAGCCCCGCGTGGATCGCGGCGGGGCCGCTGCCAGCCGGGATCCCGCTCCGGGGGCGGCTTTGGTGCTGCTCCCGAGGGGATGCTGCCTTGCCCTCGCTCCTCGCCTGCTTTCCCTGGGGCAGCCGGGCACCCGTCGGGGCTCTCCCCGGGGCCGGGGCTCTGTTCCCTGAGGCCGTCTCCCCGGGGCCGTGTCCCCGCTCTCCCCGGGGCCGGGGCTCCGCTCCCCGGGGCCGGGGCTTTGCTCTCTGAGGCCGGCTCCCCGCTCTCCCCGGGGCCGGGGCTCCGCTGTCCCTGAGGCCGGGACTCCGCTCTCCCCGGGGCCGTGTCCCCGCTCTCCCTGAGGCCGTGTCCCCGCTCTCCCCGGGGCCGGCTCCCCGCTCTCCCCGGGGCCGGCTCCCCGCTCTCTCCCCGCTATTCCCGGCTGCTGCTCCACGTCCAGGGCCGCCCCGGGCCTAAGGCCGGTGGGGCTGAGGCAGCGGGGAGCTGCGGGAAGGAAAGGCCGGGGATGCACCCTTGGGCTCTCCCACCTCCATCGGCACTTGAAAAGGAAGGAATTCCCCATCGGCTGCTCCGCCATCAGCTGTGTATTTCACACGTCTCAGGGCCGCGTTTTCCAGGCCCTTCACCTCCCTCCATCCATCGCCCAAGCCGAAGCCGGCGGCCTGGACCCTCCAAATCCTCCCGCGCCCCAAAACCCCGGCTGGGTCTCGTCCCTGGAGCTGTCGGGGCTACATTTGCCCTGGCTCTTGGGCCTGAGATGGTGTTTGGCCGGGGAGAGGCCTCGGCAGGGACGAGGCCAGCGCTGGTTTCGCTTTGCTGCCCGAATTCCCCTCGGGGTGCGGTGGCTGCGGGGCTCCGGTGGCACGGGGCGGGCCATGGGGCAGATTTGGGGACAGATTTGGGGGCACATTTGGGGGCACATTTGGGGGTCCCTGCCCATCACCCCGAGCCTTGGAGGCGAGCGGGACGTGCCTGACAGAATCGGCTGTGAGGCGGCCAACAGATGGGTCAAAACCACAAAGCGAAGCGGGGTAAAAAAATCATCAGAGCTGCAGAACCGGGAGGCCGGGCCGGGGCAGTGCCCACCACGGGCACGGTGGGGCATTTCCCGGAGCTTCTGGCGGAGCTGGGAATGCGCCCCGAGCAGCCACCGGGGCCATGCGCGGCCTTCACCGAAACTCTCCGATTATCACCCAAAGTGGCGCTCCCGGGCAGGGCACCCCCAATTCCCGGGGCGCTTTTCCATGGGGACGGCAGGAGCAGCCCACTCCTCCTGCTCTTCCCGCTGCCCCGCTCCGCGCCCGGCGGATTTTGGGAAAAGCAGCAAAATAAATATGCAATGTTGAAAGCAAACCAAAAAATCCCTTCTCCTCGCTGTGCCCTCAAGCCGGGCAGGGCATTGCCATCCCGGGGCTGCGGGATTTTCTCTGCCGCACCTGCGGAGCCCCGATGTGCCGAAACACCCCCAAATCCGCGCTCGGACTCGGGTGGGTTGGGTGGTTGGGATTTTATTTTATTTTTTTCCAACCCCATTTCTCCCTGCCCTGGCGGATCTCTTGGCGCTGCTGACCATCTCTCCCCCCGTCCCGCAGGCATCCCGCGGTATCACTCGCAGTCTCCGAGCATGTGCGACAGAAAAGAATTCGTCTTCTCTTTCAACGCCATGGCCTCCTCCTCCATGCATTCAGCGGGCAGCGGCTCCTATTACCACCAACAAGTGACATACCAGGACATCAAGCCGTGCGTTATGTGAGCCGGGGCGGAAAAACCCCCGCTGCTGGGGCCGGCCGGGGGGTTTGAGCATCCCCCAGGACTCTCGGGGTGCCACAGGGGGTGAAGCGAGTCCCAGCCGCATTTTGGGCAGCAGGAACGGCGGCGGCAGAGCCGGTGCGGCCCCGGGAGGAGCGGAGCATCGGCCGGCAGTGAGAGCCCGCAGCGTCCGTGCCTTCTTCTGCTCGGGGAGGGATGCAGGAGACAGCAAAAGCAGCCCCCGCGCACATCCCGAAAGCCCCGGCTGCGAGTTTGGGGTGAGGCTTTGCCAAATGAGGTTTTGATGCTTCTTTTTAAAAAAAAAAACAAAAAATGAAATCGCAAACTCAGTTTGGGAGTGTTGGCAGTGAGCGATGCCACCGGCTCGGGCTGAGTGGGCTGGGAAAGACCCCGAACTCAAATTCCCTCGGTGCCGTCTCACTTCGAACCCGGAAAAATACTTTAAATTTTTTTTTCCTTCTTTTTTTTTTTTTTTTAAATTTTTTTTCTTGCCGGCCAACACCCAGCGGGCAAAAAAAAAAAATCTCTCAGAGGGATTTTTAGGAACTATTAATTTTGGTTTTTTTTTGCCTGCATAAAGACTGCAGGATCAGACCCTATGCAGAGAGAACAAGGCACTTTGGAAAGAGACAGCCATGCTCATCCTGTTATTTATTCTACAATTCTTTTTTTTGTTGTTGTTGTTGTTGTTGTTGCTAATAATCGAGACACGAATAGTCTCAGTTGATCAGTATTAAATCGGGGAATCTCTGTTGGCAATATTTGCCATATAGATTTGGGGTTTTTTTAGTTAACCTTTGTAAATTTGCAAGCGACCGTGGTCTCTGTGTAAAGACAATCCTCCATATGTTTTTATAGAAATATATATATAATGAAGGATTATTCCCCTCCCTCCCCTCTCTATTTTTTTTTCCACCCACCCTGACGTTGTACAGTTCGGTGACACCTATTTTAATTCTTTCTGCACTGTATAAAATTGTAATTATGTGGGTTTGTTTTTTTTGATTTTTTTCGCCTTTTTTTTTTGTGTATGTTTTGTCCCTAAAGAAAAAAAAAATCCCGAAATAAAACCTGTATGTTATTTGTACATGGGCTTCACGATTGTATGAGCAGCAAATAAACGAGAATGCGGTGTAATTAAGCTTAATTAATGAGGAGTCCGGCCCTGCAAACCCTCGGGCAATAATTCCCCGTCCCGGCACAGACTCAAAACCGACTTTTTAGGGTTTTTTTCACCTTGGCGGAGTCCTGGTTGCCAATTTCCCTGCCGGGAAATATTTCAATTGAAGATATTGAAATGCAGAAGGAGGAAAAGCGGCGGTGCTTTTTATTTTTAGCTTTTTATTATTAGGAATATTCCATTTTTTTCCCCCCCAAGGTTAAAGGCTGTGTTTGACAGCTCTTTGAGGCTGCCGGGATGGAGCCCGCGGCTCCTTTTTATTCTTCCTCCATCCCGAGAATTTTCCAGCTCCTTTTTTCCTCCTCCTCCATCCCGGGAATTTTCCGAGCCGGCAGGAAACTTCCCGCGGGCTTTTTCCCGCGTGAAAAATGAAATAAAAATTCATAAAATTGAAGGAAATTTACCCAAATTAACCCAAATTATTAGGAATGAATAAGCAGGAATAAAAATTAAGCGCATCAGCTGCACCATCTCCGTCGTGCACGGGGCAGTGATAAATTTGCATTTAAATATTGGTATTTTCCTGCGAAATTTGGGGGGACTGGGGCTAATTCAGGATCTTCCAGTATCGGGAAATTTTTGCTTTAATTCGTGGACCAATCTGTCTTGATCAATATTCAATATCAATGCCCATAAAAAAGAGATGCAGGCGAATTAATCTGATTACGTGGTTGTGGATTTCTGCCTTTCTAGAGGGAAATTTAATCAGTGCACACTAATTAGCCCAGCTCTGTGCAATCAGCATAATAAAAATCCAAGTGTGCTGTAACGAGGGAGAAATTTATAATATTATTGTAATTAAGGCAAAGCTTTATTAGAGTTGGGGGAGGCCTTTTCAGAGTGGGTTTTTTAATTGTTGTTTTTTTGAGGAGCGTTATGGGGTTTTGGGCGTTCTTAAAATTTTTTTTTCAATGTTTTTGGGTTTTTTAAATCTCTGTTTAGATCTCTTTGAGCCAGCAGCAATCTGCCTGCAGCATTATTGGTTTTCTCTGTTTTTATGCTTTTCTGGGCTGATCTTTCCCCATCCTTGTTGGAGGCGAGCGCGTTGTCTCCATCCTTTTTGGTACAAGCTGAACATGGAGGGGTTTTTTCACTCCTGAAGCAAATACCTGTACGAGGTGTGGCTTCAAAAATGGTCCAGGGTTAGGAGCTGAGCTCCTGGAAATCCAAATGTCACTCCCGAGGTTTGTTTGCATCCCGTGGGATTGATTTGGGATCCTCCTTGGCGTTCGGTGCTTGCGAGGCTCGGGGGGTTCCGTGCCTGCTCCCCACCAAAGGCTGCTGTGATTCATTCCTCTGCCTCCCGTGGCTTTTCCAAACCTGGAAAAACAGAGCCGCTGCATTCCGGGGACGCCACATATTCCTCAAGCCACTGAGCGCAGTCTAAACAGGAGCTCTCCATCCCAGAGCCCTCCAGCAGCCAGGAGACACCAAAACCCCCCAACTCCTGCGAAAACCCCTGGCCCTGAACTCCCCCCAGCTCCTACAAAGCCCCCCAGCTCCTGAAAACCCTCCCCAGCTCCTGCAAATCCTCCCCAGCTCCTGAAAACCCTCCCCAGCTCCTGCAAACCCCCTCCCAGGTCCTGCAAATATCCCCATCTCCTGCAAAAACCCCATCTCCTGCAAACTCCCCAGGTCCTGCAAATCCTCCCCAGCTCCTGCAAAACCCCCCCAAGCTCCTGCAAATCCTCCCCAGGTCCTGCAAACCCCCTCCCAGGTCCTGCAAATATCCCCATCTCTTGCAAAAACCCGAGGTCCTACAAAACCCCCCCAAGCTCCTGCAAACCCCCCAGGTCCTGCAAACACCCCCCAGGTCCTGCAACCCCCCCCAGTTCCTGCAAACTCCCCCCAGTTCCTGCAAACTCCCCCCAGTTCCTGCAAACTCCTCCAGCTCCTGCAAACTTCCCCAGTTCCTGCAACCCCCCCCCCCAGGTTCTACAAACCTCCCCAGGTCCTACAAAACCTCTCCAGTTCCTGCAAACTCCCCCCAGGTCCTGAAATCCCCCCAGGTCCTACAAACCCCCCCAGGTCCTGCAAACCCACCAGGTCCTGCAAAACCTCCCCAGATCTTGCAACCCCCCCCAGCTCTCCATCTCCAAAATCCCAGTGGGTTTTTTCCCAGTATTTTCAGTCCCAGGGGATGGCAAAGCCCAAGCTGCTCGTGCTTCTCCAGGGGTGCCGGGGCTCTGAGAAGAGGTGAGGGGGGACAAACATGCCCAGAAATGCCATGGGAGCCCTGGGAGAGCGGCGAGGCAGGGCTTGCTCAGAAACGTGGGGCAGAAATGTGGGATTTGCTGCTGGAAAGGCTCAGATCCGGTTGTGCTCATCACCAGCGAGCTGCTCCTCACCCCTCACATCCCAATCCTGAGGGAAAACATCTCCTTTTCTTCTGGGCTTTCGGCATTTCCACTTCAGCAAACAGCTTCTCATTGCTGATGCCCTGTGCAGGTCCAGGGGCTTTCTACAGGGATGGAATTGCCCAGGAATTTTCTACGGGGATGGGATTGCCCAGGAATTTTCTATGGGGATGGAACTGCCCAGGAATTTTCTACGGGGATGGAACTGCCCAGGAATTTTATACAGGGATGGAATTGCCCAGGAATTTTCTACGGGGATGGAATTGCCCAGGAATTTTATACAGGGATAAAATTCTGGAGCACTATGAGAAGCAGAGCCCAGTGTCTCCAGGCAGGATGTCCCCTCTGGATCAGGGGACATTGGTGTCCCCAGGAATTCTGGTGGCAAAGCATTTCCCTCTGCTCCTCCCAGGATGTTTCCCCATCCCTACAAGGCCACCACGGAGCCGGAGCCGTGTCTGCCACTGTCACCTGCCTGTGGGCTCGTGGGGGACAGAGCTGCAGGGAGCAGCTTTGGGACAGTGCAGAGATCCCAAGGAAGGCCTGGAAGAGGGGATGTGGGGCTGGGTCCCCTGTGGGGGGAACACATTTTTTGGGAGGTTCCATTGGGATGATCTGCAACCTTTTTTGGGAGGCAGCATCGGGGGTGAATGGTGGTTAGGGGTCTCACAGGGATCCTGGGCCTGGAGGATCCTGGGGGGTTTGGAGGATCCTCGGGATTCTGGAGGATCCTGGGGGGTTTGGAAGATCCTGGGGGGGGGGGTTTGGAAGATCCTGGGGGTTCTGGAAGGTCCTGGGGTCATTGGATGATTCTGAGGATTGGAGAGAATTGGATGATTCTGGGGGACTGAGGGATTCTGGGGGCTTTTGGACAATCCCAGGTGGGTTTGAGGGGTCCTTGGGGATTTGGAAGATCCCGGTGGGATTTGGATGATCCTGGAGCTGTTGAATGATGCTGGGGGTGCTGGATGATCCTGGTGGGATGGGATTTGGATGATCCCGGGGATGTTGGAAGGTCCTGGGGATGTTGGATGATCCCGGTGGGTTCAGATGATCCCGATGTGTTTGGATGATCCCGGTGGGATTTGGATGATCCCAGTGGGTTCGGACAATCCCGGTGGGATCCGGGAGATCCTGAGGGTATTGGATGATCCCGGTATGACCTGGATGATCCCGGTGTTGTTGCGTTATCCTGGTGGATTTGGACGATCCCGATGGATCCGGATGATGCCAGTGGGATCCAGAGGCTCCCAGGGGTGTTGGAAGGTCCCGGTGTTGTTGGACGATCCTGGTGGTGTTGGGTGATCCCGGTGGATCCAGATGATCCTGGTGGATCTGGAGGCTCCTGGGGGTGTTGGAAGATCCTGGTGGGATCCGGACAATCCTGGTGGGATCCAGAAGATCCCGGTGTTGTTGGATGATTCCGGTGTGTCTGGATGATCCTGATGTTGTTGGATGATTCTGGTGTGTCCGGGCGATCCCAGTGGATTCGGAGACTCCCGGAGTTGTTGGAAGATCCCGGTGTTTCTGGATGATCCCGGTGGACCCGGATGATCCTGGTGGATCTGGACAATCCTGGTGGGATCCAGAAGATCCCAGTGTTGTTGGATGATCCCGGTGGATCCGGACGATCCCGGTGTGTCCGGACAATCCCAGTGGATCCAGACGATCCCGGTGTGTCCGGAGGCTCCCGGTGGATCCAGACAATCCCGGTGGGATCCAGAAGGTCCCAGTGTTGTTGGATGATCCTGGTGTTGTTGGATGATCCCAGTGTTGTTGGATGATCCCGGTGTTGTTGGATGATCCCGGTGGATCCGGATGATCCCAGTGGATCCGGAGGCTCCCAGTGTATCTGGACAATCCCGGTGGATCCGGACGATCCCGGTGGATCCAGAAGATCCTGGTGTTGTTGGATGATCCCGGTGTATCTGGACAATCCCGGTGGGTTCAGAAGATCCTGGTGGATCCGGACGATCCTGATCCCGGTGTGTCTGGACAATCCCGGTGGATCCGGACGATCCCGATCCCAATGGATCCGGACAATCCCGGTGGATCCGGACGATCCCGGTGTGTCCGGACAATCCCGGTGGATCCGGACGATCCCGATCCCGGTGGATTCGAACGATCCCGGTGTTGTTGGACGATCCCGGTGGCTCCGGAGCCTCCCGGTGTTGTTGGACGATCCCGGTGTGTCCGGAGGCTCCCGGTGTGTCCGGACAATCCCGGTGGGATCCAGAAGATCCCAGTGTTGTTGGATGATCCCGGTGTGTCCGGAGCCTCCCGGGGTCGCGGGTTCCCTTGGCGGCAGCGCCACCTGGCGGCGGCGAGCGGGGAGCGCCGCCCGCGGCTTTGCCAAAATTTGGCTTCGAACGCGCCCAGGTGGGGCCGGCTGGAGCCTTTCTTGGGGCTTCTTTATTAATTAATTTTTAAAAATCTCTTTTTAAATGCCTTGATTTTGTTTTCATTTTTCCCTTCTGGCATCCGGACCTGTGAGGGGGAACATTCCTTTTTTCCATCTTCACGCCAGGTGAAACTCCTTTATGGAGCACT